CAGTACACCCACCTTCATCAACATTCGATTGGTGGTGGAAGCATGTAAAATGAAGTTTAATGATATTATTAAACATTTATATGTGGTAAGGCGTTATAAAAATTTTAACACATTTTAATAAGTTAAAGAAAATTAATTACCTGTTACATAATATTATCAATAAAAAAAATCGATTTTAACTAACTAATGATATGAGGTCTAAATGGCCGTAGATAAAAATTAAGGAGGCAACGTTACTTATTGTAATAATACTCGTTGTTCCCGCTATACAAATTAATCGGCTCCATAGAAGAAATTGTATTGTTAAAGAACTTCGAAAAATTAGTATCATCTAATAAACTGGTATTAAGCAGCGAGCTGATACATTATTAAACTTTGTTAATTTGATTTGAGAACAATCTGACCCAAAAGATACACTGAACTATATAGGTACTCGATAAAGTATTATATTAAGATCACTTTACTTTTAGTTAATTATATTTTTTTAAATTTAAAAATAAATAGATCACCCATATTCATCAACATTCGATAAGACGATTGGTGGTGGAAGCAAGTAAAAAGAAGTTTAATGATTTTAAACATTTATATGTGGTAAGGCGTTATAAAAATTTTAAAACATTTTAATAAGTTAAAGAAAATTAATTAATAAAAGAAATTGATTGTATTGATAAAGAACTTCGAAAAATTAATATCAACTAATAAAATGGCATTAAGCAGCGTGATGATACATTATTAAACTTTGTTAATTTGAATTGAGAACAATCTAACCCAAAAAATACTGAACTATATACTTGATAAATTATTATATTAAGATCACTTTACTTAAGTTATTTGTATTGATTAAAAAAAACAAATATTAATAATAATGACGAAATATACAAAAGTAATTTGTTTCAATTTCGAAAATATTCTTCTTAAATCAAAAAATAGCACTTAAAATAATTCTCTAAAAAGTGATGGTAATTTAACCATAAGTTAATGTTCTTCAAATAAATCATTTCTATCTAGAATGTGAACAATAATATATTTTTAAATACATTTTTATTAGAATTAGCGCAATACTTATATTAAGTTATTTGCATTAGATATATCTCACCAATCACAATTTCTCAAGTTATTTGCAAAGCTAACGATTTAATGCTTTTACACATAATACAAAGTTCTTGCTAATTATGGTTTAATAAAGGTATTAGAGAGGCGAGTTTAATTTTACACACCAAAAATTGTGGTTTCAATTATACTTTCAGCAAGTAATAATCATAGTTTAAATAGTATGAACTAAAAATAACTAAATTTGAAACAGCAATAAAAAACATATTGTATCCATATTTTTACGTTAAGTGTCTAAACATAAATTTAAAACCATTGCCCTCAAGCTGATCGTAAGAGTCGAGTAACAGGTTCTTTAATCCAATTAAACATTTACAGAGTAAAAATGCGAGACTTCTTTATTATTTTCTATCTAACGTTTTCAACAAATTTAATATGAAACATTCGTTGATCGACGAATAGCCCCCATCGCAATACCATACCATCCTTTTGACTTCCCATCGCAATACCATACCATCATTTTGACTCCCCATCGCAATACCATACCATCCTTTTGACTCCCCATCGCAATACCATAGCATCCTTTTGACTCCCCATCGCAATACCGTACCATCCTTTTGACTCCCCATCGCAATACCATAGCATCCTTTTGACTCCCCATCGCAATACCATACCATCCTTTTGACTCCCCATCGCAATACCATACCATCCTTTTGACTCCCCATCGCAATACCATACCATCCTTTTGACTCCCCATGGGGCTGCATCCTTTTGGTCCCCCATTTTTCCTCTACTTGTGAGAAAAATTCCATTGGTGTTTCATAAATAATGTGTTCGATAATAAACAAAAATCAATTACTATGAGATATTGATATGGCTAAATAGATATTTAAAAGACCTCTTAAGAGTGATATTTTGTAACACCGACATTTATATTTCAAAAATGTATCGATGATGTCATCAGTCTTACTGAGGTGACGTCAAAACTAAACATTTAACCTGAAAAAACGCCCTTCTATAAATAAAAACGGGAAGTTTCAAGATTTTTCTATGACGATGACCTTATTGAAACCATAGTGTATAAATCCATACAGCGTTACGTAAATTTAACTGACACTCATAGGTATATGAGACGTGGCCCAATAAAAAATTCATGTCATTGCTTAGTGTGAAAAAAATACATGACAGTCATATATGAGTGATTTAAGGTATGTCCCTAGGTTGTGTAAAGTAGTTTCGTCATATACGCCTATATTTCTATTGCCTATAATATCGAAACTATTTGAAAAAATACTAATAAAATGACTTGAAGAAAGGAAACTAATTCCAGATTATCAGTTCGGCTTTAGAGAAAACCATTCAACTGTAGATCGGGTTCATAGAATCTCAAATGCAACTGATAAAGCATTATAAAACAAAGAACTCTGTTCAGCCATCTTCCTCGAGGTTGCGCAGGTTTTTGCTAAAGTATGGCATGATGGCTTAAAACATATACTGAATGTGCTACTTCTACAGCCATACTCACAGCTACTGGATTCATACATTTCAGATAGATTTTTTAGAGTAAAACAAGATGAAGCATACTCTGAATTAAAAGAAATTGAAGCAGGAGCACCACAGGGAATCTTCCTGGGACCCATTTTCTATCTGTTATATACTTGCGACATACCCCAACTAGTACAAGACACATTAGCTACTGTTGCAGATGATACTGCCATCTTAGTGATAGGCAAAGATCATAAAGAGGCTACAAATAAACTACAAACATTACTTAATCAAATAAATAATTGGACCAAAAGATGGCGTATTAAACTAAATGAAACTAAATCTGTTAATAATAATTTTACTAACAAAAATGGTCAACGAATATCAATTAACATAAATAATGCCCAGGTCCTTTGCGATAATTCAGCAAAATATCTAGGTATTACATTAGATGCAAGACTTTGCTGGAAGGTCCAAGTTAAAAAGAAAACACAAGAGTATCCATCAACAATATGGTTATCTTAAGATGAATCAAAGGTTACGCCATATCGAAAGGTAACCATCTTGCTGATTCACTGGCTAATAAGGCAGCCAACCAATTACTTTTTGGACCTAGCCTGGCCTGACAAAATCGATAGTGACAGACCAAATTAAAGAACATTCCCTTGTGAACTTTAAGGAAATATGAGATGAAACAAGAAGCTGCCTACTTGCCAGGGAGATTTTAAGTAACACTATGGCAAACAAATACTTGTTTATGATTAGACAGAATCTGCATCTAATTACGGGCCTTTTGAGTGGTCATTGCCAAGTAGGATAGCATCTTCATATTATAGGGATGTCAAAACCGGCACTCTGTAGGCGGTGCGAACAAAAAGATGAGACCATCGAGCATATCCTCTACGATTGCCTGACGCACTTATTCATTAGAAGATTTGTGTTCAGCGAGAATTGGCTAACACCAACCGATATAAGAAAAGCACCTTTTGGTAATGTCAACTACATTAAATCTGTAGGCTGACTCACGAGCTAGGAGGTGCCTATCTACTTAGGAGGATGTAAAATGGGCCTAGCGAGGCCTAAGTCCCGTGGATTAACCTACCCTCCATACGTTACAGACAGAGAGATACGAGGATGTCTTACTACTTTATGGCCGTATTTGACCAATATCCATATTTCGTCTTTTATAGATTCGTCTAGTTTAGCAACAAAATATTTTGCCTTGCTTTTGCCGCTACCATTTTTTTGAAGTTCCTTTTCCTGTTCCTAATTTTTTTATTTTATATAAATTAAATCTAAAAATATTAAGTACTTCTGTGACCACTTATATGCAGCTTTTTCTTTAAATAAAACAAAAATCCCTGTACTTTTCAAAATACGCTACTATGCACTAAAAGTTAGCCTTCTTGATTATTTCGGTCTGGTACATAATATTAACGAAAGTGGATAAAAGAAACGAAAATTACCATAATAATAACATCGATAATTTCTTTCCTTTACATAATATAGGTCAATCCAAGATATACAGAATCAATGTTTTCTCTCTGCACGTATACATTCTTAGGTTCTTAAGAATGATTTGTTATTGCTGATATAGCGCTGAGTTGGAGTTTATTTCCTAATGGTTTATGTGTTGAGGAAGATCAAATAATGAATGTAGGTTTTCGAGAAGCGCTTCGAGGTACATTAAAGTTAAGGGACTATTAATTGATTACCTCGGAAATTCAATTAACGATGTGATTTCGGACGGTTGTTAACAGGAAATAATCGGTAGAGGTAAAAAAGTTTGGTTATCCAGTTTGTAGGACGTGATGAAAATCGTATAAGAAAATTTCAAAGACCATGAGGAAATTAATGTTACTAAAGTATGATTTGGATCTCAAATATTACAAACTTTTCATTCATTCACTGTTTTATGATAATATATACGAATATTAATTATTTCTCAACATAACAGTCAGAGACAGCGCCTGTTCTGGCTTTCTGTCACTTTAAAAAGATTATTATATCCGAAGATTCGCACCCGCTATCTTTGAAACGGTTGTTTGACGTCAATTTTATGGATATTTTAGAGCCGAACAAATTTTACATTTATGATATAAATATAAAAATATTTTTGAGTAAAAAAATAAAAAAAAAAGTTTTTGAAAATTTTGGGTTTTCGTACTTTTTGCATTTATCATCGTAGTAACCCAATGAGACAAATTATAGAAAATATTATTGACTACAACTTTTGTATAAATCATTTTCCAAAAATTCATGAATAACAATAACAAAGAAAACTTGTTTTTATTGTGCTACCCAAGTACCACCAAAAGTTATTTAAGGGTAATTCTCTTAATCATTGGTGTCATTGGCATTGACTAATTAGATTATTAGTCTCTTATTCTAGGTAGGCTTTAATATTGTTTCCCAGCGACTCTTTTAAAACGTATCTGCTTTAAATGTATAACAAATCAACTTACCTAAAATGTCTTTTATCTATTTCATCTTGCTTAAGTACCACACCAACTTCAGTCGTGTACAATATCTTCGCGATGGCCTTGAGACATCCCACTAAAAGATACGCGACTGCTGGTCTTTCAGTCGTAAAATCTAGCTGAATATTTTTATCACTTGAAGCCGTACACATGAAGGCTTCGGCATCGTGTTCCTGCTCTCGACCGTTTTCTTGGTATTTTAAAACATCGTAGACTCCATCGAGGGTAGTTAAAAACTCTCTGAGATTACCTCCTAGACATATGAAGGCACGCTCAGTTCGTTCTGTGCAAGTAGAACTGATCAATTCTTGACCTAAAGAGTCAAAGAACTGGCTTTCGTCTATATCTGAAACATAAATAGTGAAATAAAATTTGCTGAGAAACGAACAATAAAAAAGTGTTCAATAGGGTGCAGATATTTTTGGACTAATGTGCAAGAACGTTGCTCTTACGCTCGACGTTACCCCAAGCCTAATACTGTGTGCGTAGTGGGATATTAGAGTGTTTGAGTAATATTGTTTTAACCGTCCAAATAATATTAAAAAATATTCAGATTTCATACGATGACATAAGGTGCACCAATATTTGGTAACCTTAAAAGTTTCAGGTAATTTTTATCTGGAAACCATAAAGTTTTCCAGTTTAAAAAATCAGCATTTATAATATAACGTTATCTGCCTAACCCCTGATGTCAAGTTTTATAAAATTCCTTATTACTTACATACATATGAAAACTCTTAACCTTCATACTATAACGTACCTATGTACCGTAAAACCGTGTAACTTGGAACGTTTTATTAAAATCTGTGGACACCATACAAACATAAATATATGAATATTGATTTATACTATTTGTGCGTTTGTATGAGTGTCCAACCTTTTAGGGAAGTAGCATTATTATTTTATAAGTCTTAAGAATTATCAAATTTTTAAAAATTATATGTTGTGTTCCAAGTAACCCTAAAAATTGCAAACTTGGAACGACTACTTAAAATGAATGTTTATTCCCTTTTTAAAGGCTGTAAGGTAACTTGGAACACAATATAGTCTTTTAAAATGAAAATCATTAAATATATGTACTTGGTGCTAGCAAAAACATTTTTTTTTTGTAAAATCAACCAATAATAATCTATTTATTTATCAGACGTAACAATAATTCTACAAAACATAAAATTTTCAAGGAATAACTAGCCTGCTCTAGGAGTAATGTAAAAAATTATCATAAATAAAACACAGTTATCAAGGCATAACTATTAAACTTAACATTAAATATCAACAGGGGTTAATAAAACCACCCTGAAAGGTGTTTATTTGGAGGCATTTGTTAACTTTTTGATCTTGATCTTTATCTATTACACATATATTTTCCATTTGGGGATAAGTAAAAATAACTTTTGATAACCCGTTTGGTCGCAGAAAACTACATTCATAGGTGCTGGATTTTTCTACCTTCTTCAGGATTTCTCCAACGTAATTTCTGACTTTAGATTATTGCCAGTTTTCCTTGAAGGGGACAAGAAACTAAAATAAAGTTTCCTTCCACAACAAAGTTGTTATCATGGCAAACTTAGTCATCTTGAAGTACATTTTGGTCATTGTTTTCGTTCTCTTGTAAATTTGCTTTATCGCTATTATTCTCCTTATCTTCCCTATAATAGTCTCCTCTTGTTCGGAAGAACTGCTGTCATTAGCTTCATTTGTCTCAATTCCCGATATACTCTTTCCAGGCTCCACTGCAATTATTTTCTTGCTCTGAAGGTTCTCCTTACCATACCGCATTGTATTAAGATGCTCCTTTAGAAACTGTGTAAGGGAATTTTCTTTAGGAGGGTCTACTTCGTTTCCACCAGGTAACCATTTCAGTACCTCAGTTTTATCAAGTGGGTAAATTGCAGTGGCCCGAAATCCTGATCTGACTGTAGTCGGTAGATTTTCTTCCATAATAGCAAGTGTATTGAGTAACAATGAGGGGAACTGTCTTTTCACCTTTCCAGAACACAACCTTTGTTTGACAGTTTCCACTTTAGTAACGCTACGCAGTTTTTAGTGACCGAAACACACTTACGTAGAGCGGCTAGCATAGGTGCGTGCTGTTAGCTGGGAGAAGGACAAACCTTATATTATTATTTTGACATTCCTTTATTACGTTTTCAGATAAATGGTTTAATAAATTGTCTCCGATTAGAGCCTTCGGACCTGGACACAACTTCTTCATGTAGGGCAGCAAAAAGGACAAAAGCCAGTCTTCAAACAACTTTCCATTCATCCAGCCGGATTGTGATCTGTTATACCCTGCTCATCTTGGTCCTCTTTCAGTCCATGAATTCTCCGCTAGCACTACAAGCGAACATGATAGATATGCTCATTTTGGAGATGTCTAGACACCGTTCTGGGTGCTTAACCTCTAGTTTTATTAAAACTTTTGATCGTCCTGGATCGTCGGTTAAGTTGCTTGCATCGTAATTGATAATAGCTTCAGGAGGCACACTTCTTAATGAGATTTCAAGGTTTTCAAAATATGTGGTAATGGATTGCTCTGACAACTCCGCTCTATTTCTCTTTATATGTTCAGCTAATCTATTAGTGAGCTCTGGGTGTCTGTTTAAAAAATGCAATACCCAGTCTTTCTCCGGTTTGTTCTGCTTGAAACGAAATTCCTTTCTTCCGGTTTTCTCTAGGTAGGAAAATACAACATGCTGTAGATCCCGTACAGTGAGAGGAAATCCTCATTCGGCAGCTACCCTTAAGCCACGAACAATTCGTTGTTCTTTCTCAGTTGACAGAAGAGTAGGCCTGCCATACTTATTCATTTGTATTATCTAGATTTTTTAGATAATGTACCTAGCGAGATTTTATACTTTCTAGAGGCCTCGCGTAGAGATACTTTCTTTTATCTAATTTCATCTAGAGCCTTTTACAAAATATCTTTAGTGTTTGCAGCGTATGTTCTGGCGCCAGGCTTTCGAGTCGCTTTAGACATGTTTCAATCCTAAAAAGGTACAGATACTATTGAATATAGTTTTATCGTTTGCTAAATGGAGTCGAAAACTTGGAACAGCGTTCCAGATTTTCGATCTAAGTTTTCCAAGTTTTCGACCTAATTTTAAACAAGTGCACGTTTACATTTTGATATGCTCAATCCGGCAACTGCGCAAAATTCGTAATAGATCGCTGCCAGAGTAAACAGCCTACTACTCATGCAACATAACCTATAAATATTATGAAAATTTATATATGTTTACTTACCTTTAGCTAGGAAGTTTTCGTCAGGTAGATTACTGATATTTCCGACAAGCGGAATTAGCTAGTTAATTAAAACACACTGTTGCAAGATTCTACAAAAATATTTCGCGTGAAAATTGCCTTACCTTTCTCTGGCGAGAGAGTTACGGGTGTTTAGAAAAGCATAGTTGCCAGTTGCGAGTCAAATCAGGAAAAATAAAGTTTTGTTACAAGTTATACTCATGTTCCATCTTACACGGTTTTACGGTACTCAAGAAGTTGTAAGTGTATTGTGGATTTTAAGACTTTAAGGTTTTAAGACTTACTTTATATCAATTGGTGTATGTGGAATGAAGTAAAAAAATTATGGGTATTTCATAATTTGACGTTTAAAGCATACAACTGTAGCAAAATTCCCTAGTTAGTTACTGGGTTACCAAAAATTGGTCCCATCCATGTCAACTAATAAATAATCAAAACTGAACTAAAATCATATGGGGAATTTTTATATTTATGATTTTTTACATAATATTTATTCTTCCTGGTTTAGGTATGCATTCTAAATTATTTTGTAGCTTATTCTATGTTCATATGTATGTTTTTTAGTTCAATAAATTCGTCTACACATTAACCTGTGTTTGAAGTTTACATAAATGCTCTGAGACTGAAAGTCTACGGACCCTTTATTTTATTTATATAATAATAATAATTTATTATTTATTGGACTATTAATTACATCGGAAATATTTTTTTTATAACAATGGTCAGAGTTTTTTATTTTTGGGGGCAAAACTGATAAGATTACTTTTTTAAATTATCTTATTACACAACCAATATAGGAAATGTTGAAAATATATCCAACATATTCAGCTAAATCTGAAAGCCAGCCCTGTTACCCAAATTAAATTAAAAATGTACCTAGTTCATTATTCGTGATATATCCATTAATGAGTTCAACCAGCCTGCTTTTTATTCTGTTATTACTAAGATGCAGTAATTAATATTCTAAGCAAATTAAGTGACTAACTTATATAGTTACAAATATATAATTAAATGGTGAAGTTTCAAATTAAAAATGCATTGAAAAGTAACATGAGTTTTCATTGAACCAGTCAAGTCAGCAGCAACGTGATGCAATAAGGATGATACCCGTCGAAACCAGCAACAGTATTACACATGTATTTCCTTACTTAAATTACAGTCCCTTTCGTTTTATCGCGGTTCCTGCCAGTGCCGTACTTAAAAAAATGTGCGTTAGCGGCACAAACTCTTAGACTTGAATGCAAAAGAAACTTTAATAAATACAGAGGGTTACAAAAAAGTTAAATATAATATTTTTTGCATTTCATCTAGCTATATTTCAGCCAACTCGCAATGTGTCTTTATTATAAACTTAAATAAACTTAAGAAGCTTAAAACTGCACACTGCATATGCGCACTGTGCACTGCTTTAAAATACTTTAACAATACTAATTCAGAAAGAGTAAAACCAAATTTGGTAGATTTTCACACTTTTATTTTAAAAATAAAAATTTTTAAACAAACACTAACATGACATATGTTTCGAAGTACAACTTCTTTTTCAAATGTGACTATTTACAATTCGGTATCCAATATATATACAAAATAATTTATACGAATCTATTAAGATTATATTTTTACTGTTATCATGGGTTTTAATCTTTTTAGTAAAAGTTGTTCGAAAAGTTTAGGCAGCACTGGTGACAGGGATATATGTCTCTAGGACATAACTTCATTTGGTGGTTTTCCAGGTTTGGGTATCATTATAATTTTAGCGACTTTCCAGATGCTAGGTACATGCTCTAGCGTTTACTATGTAAGTTTAACCACAGCTTTTTTTGGCAACTGTTTTAGTATTTTACCTGTAATCAGATCATACCCTGGTCCTTTCTTAGAACTGATATTTCTTTTGATTTCCTTAGCTATCTCTTTAGGCGTTACCTTAGGAATTTCAACTAATTTGTATTCTCTACTGGTAAGGTAGTCCTCGTTCTTCATTCGTTTGAAAACTTATTTCGAGATGATCTGCAAAGATGCCAGCTTTTTATTTATTTGATCTTGCCCAGTTTCCGTTGTCTTCTTTTATTGGTAGCATGTGGACTGTTAAACTTTTAAGTTTCCTAGTCACTTTTCGAAGAGAGTAATCAGTATTTTTATCGTTCGTCAACTTTTTGAGATATATGTCTATTGATTCATTTTAAATAGTGATTATTTCTCGTTTTAATTGTTGTGTTAGTCTGTTGAGAACTACTTTATCTTTATGGGAATTTGGTGATTTGCTTTTCTCTTCTTATTTATCTCTTTTTTTATTTATCTAGGGTATGAATTGCCTAAGTTTTTTCTTGTAATTTCTTGTGCATTCCATGACGATTGCTGTATATCGATGAAAAATTTTTCCAGTTCGTACTATAGTTGTTCTTTTGTTCTTATTAGTGTACTTAATTTAATTCTATCACTTAATTCAGAATTAAAACTTACCATACAATGTAGAATTAATTTGTTTTTGGATAATATTGTCATTATCACCGGGGAATGATCTAAGTCAAAGGTTTCTTCTATTTATTTATCTAATAATTACTAGGAGAATTACGTAAGGCATAAAATTTTATATTAAAGAGGATTGAACAGTGGACATCCAGCCAGTCAATGATACAAAAAAAATGAAAATGACCCCTGAGAGATTTATTTTGACTTTTTTTTATAATTTTAATATAAATATTTCTGTAAATTTATTACCCTATTTTACCAACTATACTTTCTTATCTGATTCTTTGAGAATTGTTTAAATTCGAGATTGTATGCAGAGCAGACGGGCGAAGCCAAATTTGATGTATATTTCACGGCGAACTTCGGCACATCTCACAACTTTGATTTTTCAATCTGGGATTTAGTATAGAACTTTTTTTGCGTCTTTATAAATAAAATAAAGCAAATAGGCAAAAAAATAAAAACTTTTGTAAATAAATGAAAATTGCTTTTCCCAACTTTTAAAAGGTAAAAGAGAACAAACGATTATTGATGTAAACTTTATAATGAAGACGTAACTGTCGCAGCATTTTAGATAGCTGAAGTTCGACGTATATATGGAAACTTTAGTTTGAAACTGGAAAATTGGATGTACAGATTTGGATACGAAGTTTTCCGCGTTATTAAATGATTTTTGATGTAAACAAGTACGTTTTCAGAATTTATTATACATAGTTTAAATTTTAAAACTTTTGTTGACATCCTAATTGACGTCCTTGAGGAATATTCATGAATACAGTATTGCCAGATGAATAAAATTGACACATATCGACGATCAATATTTTATTTGTCTTGTGCTCTACCGGGCCATTAAATGCTACTTGGGGTATCAGAAAAATGGTATAAAATCAAGTATTGTCGAGTTGATAGCACTTATAGAACATGTACCTAGTCAAATTACCTAATCTAACAATATTCAGCAGTTTTAAAATTTCCTCCAGCCTTGCTCTGATCTTTAGGCTTCGCTGTACAGTCTAAAGCCTTTGCCAAACAGCGAACCTATTTCCTGTCAACCAACTTACGATTTATAATTACATAGAACAATCCATTTTACTCTATAATACGACTAATATTTACCCATGTTTTGTTCTCACAAAAGAGGGAATTATCTCCAAAATTATTCATAAATGAATGTATCATATGCATTACAAATTACAATGAGACGTTTAAAGCTTGCAATCGACATAAGAAATGTTGGAAATATATCCAACGTATTCAGCTAAAATCTGAAAGCCAACCCTGTTCCCCAAATTAAATTAAAAATGAACAGAGTTAGTTATGAAAGATCAATTTATATCAAAGTTAAATTTTGAATCAAATAAATGTAAAAAATATAGAAAAGTATCTTACCATTTTCTGATTTAACTATGTCGTAAAGATCCTCTAAGTAAGCGTAATGTGGACAATTCGTAACATTCTGTGGCAGTTTATCTCTGAAAAGCAGAAAAATGTATGTAACGTAACTACACAGTGAGCGGGAAAAGTAATGAATATATAAATTTTTGAAGTGGCATCTTTGAAATTGATAAAATTAATAATTGCTAACAGTGGCTTTCATCTAAGAGAATTGTCGTAAGAGTTAAAATTTTTACGTCAAAGAGTTTTGTTTTGAAAACAAAGATTGACGTTTCTCAGGATTTAACTTAAAAATAAATACTTAATAACAAAATGAATGTAGTCGTTACTTTTGCTGCTAACCATATATAATTTAATATACAGGGTGGCCGGGAAAATGTGAAAGGTCTCTCGGATTCAGATAGAACATTAAAAAATAAGATGAGAAGTTCCCATAAATATTTTTCCTAGCGGCCCTCCCTACGGAGATACGGCCTAAAAAAGGGCGCCACTGGAAATCAAGTTTTCTTAAATTACTTTCAAACTACATAATAGAATGAAAATTTAATAAATGAAAATTTAATATGATAAACAGTAGTAAGAACCTCTTAAAATACTGCCCTTAAAGCATAATTAGCTTATTTAGTTTACCAGGGGCGGACTAGGTTGTACATTTTAATGCTTACATTTTTAACACCCTGTATGATAAGGAGTTAAAAAAAATTAATTTCGATACCCTAAACATTAAACTAAAGAAAAGGTACTCTTCTTCATTGTCAATAAAATAAACCGTTTTTGAAAAAAAAAATAAAAGAATTAATATTTTATTTTATTTTAAAAATTAAACTCCGAGAATTAGCTAATTTCAAATTGGTGAATTCTAAAATACAACTTGGAGTATTATTTTTTCATCCTGAACTCACTAAAGTTTGTAACGATTGAACCTAATACGTTAATTAGAAATAATCAATTAAAAACTTTATAAGTGGGTTCAACATGTGTTCCGTGAACTCTGATACACTCGCGGGCCCGACGAATAGAGGACTAGTGTACTCGCCACAACAACCCAGCATTGTTCCTTATCACATCACAATGAAATGTGATTCTCTGTAAAAGTTCCTTCCTAGTATCAACCGGAGAGGAATACACCAAGGTTTTGAGATGACCCCACAGGTAAAAATCCATTAGCGTTAGGTCGGGAGACCGTGGAGGCCAGGCAATTGGACCTCCTCTGCATATCCAAATGTTTCGATAGACGTTATTCAGGTGGTCCCGTACAGCGACGCTAAAGTGAGGTGGGGTTCCATCATGCATAAAATACATGCTTCGGCGGGTTTCAAGCGTTCTAAAGGAACTGCAAATAAAGTTCACTATTCAATCGTGGCGCAATACGCATGATCCAATCAAAAAATTGCCGATTATTCCTGCCCAAATATTAATTGATTGGAACTGATGTTGATAATGATGAACAACAGTGGCATGAGGGTTTTCATCAGCCCATACATGCAAGTTATGTAAATTTACAATACTATTTTTGGTAAAGGTGCGATTTCGGTAGTGCTGCTCGAGCTGCGCGACTGGAGACGCTGGCAGCGGCAGCTGTAGCCGCGATGAAAAGATGTTTTCGGTGACGCAGTTCTAGGCAGCCGTTGACTGCGGATTGTAGCATTTTTGTCATTTTAAATTTTTATTGCGGTAGGTATGTGGTAGAAAAATTAGCTAACAACTATAACTACGCTATTAAAATTTACAAGTCATTTCGCAGATTTTGATTTAACCATTAAAATAGCATAAATTTGTTTACAATATGATACTAACCTTCTTTTTTTAATTCTATAGCGACCTTTTTCCAACAATTTTCTTTAATAACAAAATTTTTGTAATTTTTGTCTTCATAATCACAAATTACGGGATATTTTTGTATTTCGTTGATTAAAATTTCATCGTCATTTGATGTAAATGGCGCCATTTTTTGCCCTAGTCACTACGATTTCAGCCGCTCGACTGCTTCGCGAGCAGTCGAACAGCAGCCGCTGCAGCGCAGGCTGCCGCCGCTTTAGTCGCGCTGCGCAAGTCAAATTGGTTCATTTGAAACTGTACAAACAGGGTTGCCAATCTGTGAGTAATTCCTCACATTTGTGAGTAATTTACTAGTCTGTCAGTAATTTTGTGAGTAAAGGGCAATTGTGAGTAATATGTGAGTAATCGGGAAGTCAGCGTGGGTATATTCATGGTAGTTAGGCAAAATCCTGATCGCATAATTTATTAAAACCGTGTTCTTTTAAAAAAATTTAATATAAGCCTAATTTTACCCCCTTGCACTTTTAGAAGTCATAACAATTTTGTAGTTTTAAAATTGCAGCGTCCTCTATTGCTTGGTCAATGTAATAGAGTAAAAGTGATTTTGATGTTTTACAACCCCCTAGGTGTCTTGTCGATAGTGATAGTCCCATTGGAACTGTCCCAATCGTCGATTAATATATTTTTTTGTTCATTTGTATTAGTAGATTTTTTTAAGTATTAGAATTAATGATTTATTATGATTTCGCCCATTAATAAAGAATATACTCTAATTCTCCATCCTTTTTTGTTTAGCTGATTACAAAGATGTTTTATATACAGGGTGATTCATAACTATTGGGACATAGGCTAAGGGCAGGTTATTTGTACCAAAATATGGCGATAGGGCCAAATATACCTCAATAAAATATTGCTGTGGAATAAGATACAGGACGTTAAATAATAATAATAATAATAGTAATAAAAATAGATTATAATCTAACAGCAAATTATTTGACACTGCAAAGCAAACTTTTCATAAATAAAATATTTTGTGAGTTGTTCAATTGCGTTTTTCTCGAAAACGGGTAAAATTTTTAATCAAATATACTAAAAAGATTCGTAAAAAAAGCTACCACTTAATTTCATCATCAGGAATCATTCACGTGGCGCCTTCTGTAACAAAATGTGAAATAATATATAAAATATTATTCCTTGTCGAAAAATATGCCTTTGTACCAATTTTGATAACAATTCATAAATATACAGTGACATCAGAAAAAAACGAAAAAACAGAATTAAAATTTAACACCCTGTATCTTATTCCACAGCAATATTTAATTAAGGTATATTTGGTCCTATGCCATATTTTTGTGCAAATAACCTGTCCTTAGCCTATGTCCCAATAGTTATATGAATCAACCTGTATATTACTTGGTTATTAAAATAGTGAATGTACAGAAAAAAGGTGCATCTGTTTTGACTCTTGTATGTTCTGAAAATTGCTCTTTTGATGATTAGCAACATTGCACAGTAGTAAAATAAATTCAAACAAAAGTGCAAGAGTACAAAATATACAATTTATATAAAAAAACTAGTAATATTGATATTTTGAAATTGTGAGTAATTGTGAGTAATCCGGAAAAGTTTTTGAGAGTAAATCGGTAAAGACCGGTTGGCAACCCTGTGTACAAACCAGTGCAGTGGCTGGAGACACAGCTGCTAGCCGCCGCAGCCAGCCGCGTCACCGAAATCGCACCTTAAACCCTGCTTCATCGGTAAACAGAATAGTGCCAATAAAGTTTCTGTTTGTTCGTTGCTGATCTAACAGCCAATTTGCGAACTGGATTCTTTAAGAAAAATCTTCAGTAAGTAGTTGATGCACTTTTTGCAGATGATAAGGGTATAACAACTGTTCTTTAAGTACTTCAGCAATTGTCGTTTTTGACACATGAAGCTGCGCGACTAATCTTCGAGTGCTTATGGAAGGAGTAAAATATTTTCCTTAAATTGTACCGTACGTACTGTTCTTGTCACACCAGCATCAGTACTTGTTTTCCCAAAACTTCCTAAAAATTATTAAAGAAAGTCAATAATGTTACCTTATTAACTGGGAATCGCCTACCAGTCTCTCTTAGACGTTGGTCAAGTCGCTGAAATGTTTTCTCATTTAAAATACTGCGATCATACAACCGTTTTGCTTCATAAGCATTGCAAGATGCAAGACCATACTTAAGATGCATATCTGCATACTCACTAAATGTGTATCCCATTAACGAATTAAATTTACAAAATTCAAAATTCAATAAATTAATATCGAAGTACTAAAAGATCAACGTGTCAACAAGATTTAAAATGCACACGTCAATGCAATTATTCATTTATTTATTTCGTAGGCACCATAGCAACGTTTGTAAAAACAGTGCGTTTTTTAATACTGATAACAATTCTATTTCAATGACTTTCGTATCACACTTTGCTGCAGACAATAAAAATAAAACATTAATATTTTTATTATTTTTTTTTCTCGAAAACGGTTTATTCTATCGACAATAAAGAAGAGTACCTTTTCTTTAGCTTAATGTCGAAGGTATCGAAATTTATTTTTTTACTCTTTATCATACAGGGTGTTAAAAATGTAAGCATTAAAATGTACTACCTAGTCCGCTCCTGGTAAACTAAACAAGCTAATTATGTTTTAAGGGCATTATTTTAAGATATTCTTACTACTGTTTATCATATTAAATTTTCATTAATTTATATTACGTAGTTTGAAAGTTATTCAAGAAAAATTAATTTCCAGTGACGTCCTTTTGGAGGCCGTATCTCCGTAGGGACGGCCGCTAGGAAAAAAATGTATGGGAACTTGTCATCTTATTTTTTAATATTCTATTTGAATCCAAGAGACCTCCCACATTTCCCGGACACCCTGTATTAGGGGTTTATTCGTAAGGCGGTGAATCATTTTCAATATTATTTTATTGTTAATTTCTTTCGATAGAGTTACATTTTATTATCCATACGTTTCTTTACAAAATTATATACTCTATCATAATGTATAATTTTCCATATCATACTCGTTTAAAGCCACCAATTTAGTATAACGGAATGTAATGGATAATGAGAAAATGTTTGATCTGCGGTGTACTCAAGGATTTCATGAATAATAATATGGATAAACTACAGTTTGCATGTAATAGATTCTGGCTTCTGTTGCAATTAAATGATATTTTACTGCAAAAAAATCAGAACAAGAGATTTAATTATCCATAATCGTGGATATCTGAGTAAGCAACGTTGTAAATTATGTTTAACTACTTGGATGCAACCGCCCATTTCTAATTTCTGGTTAGTGTAAATATTCTGGTTACACTATCTAGAGCCAGAGCCTGGAATATTTGAGTGTCTGAATATTAGATGAGACATCTTTTTCTAAGTAAAATATATTCTTATTATGCATGAAGAATTAGAAAATTATTTTAAATGGTTACAAAATCCCATAATATACAATTTTTAATAACCTCAAAAGTTGTATATTCTATTTTAATTTCTATTAACCCACCCTGTGCATTTTTTTCACGAGATGAGGGTAAAATATTTTGTCGACTTTCATCGATAGGACAGTCTTTATTAACATTTCTTTCTTAAATAAGTAGTATCCATATTTATCATCTAGACGTTACTTTTTCAAGGCTTCACTTGGTAATATTTTGTCTTTAGTATAAGAGGTTGTAAAAGAAGGATAAAAAGTAAGGGTACTTACAGACAGCGATACCTATACGGATTATATTCTTTCAGGATTAGAGACGTCAGTGCCTGTTGTACAGCTTCGTTCTGAAAAGAAAATAAAACCAAATTACTACATTGATAATGTCGCAGGATGGGACTTTCGATATTTATAAGTTATGCAAATTAAATTAAATTATTAATAATCACTATTATTTTTTTTAATTTTCCACTTCCTTAATATATACTCTTCACATAGTAGTCTGTGAAGAGAATTATAAGTTTACTTTCGAGAAAATAAAATTTTTGTACCAAAATTCTTTTCACCAAATTTTAAACAACTTTAAAAAATGTCCGTCCGATGTCACGTTTTTCTCCGCACAAGTCAAATATGAAAAATGATAACAACATGAAATATTTAGTAAAAATTAACTTATGTAAGGAAATTAAGTCTATTGAATATGAAAAAAAAAAAAATTAAATATTGGGAGTTAAGGGGGTTGAAATAATAAAAAAAAATCTAACTCAAAAACAAAAATGATAACAACTTGATTTTGATTTTGAAAAATTGGGCGTTAATAGGGTGAAATTTTAAAAAGTCTTAAATCAAAAACGAAAAGCGATATGAACATGTAATATTTAATAAAAATCGAGCTTTATAAGGGGACGTCTATTGATATTGAAAAATTTAAAGACTTTACCACAATCGATAATTTGTTCAGAATTAGGTAAAATAAGAAAAACGAAACACGGTAGATTTTCACAAACACGTTTATTTAAAAAATAAAAATTAGACGACTTCTGCTTCAAATGTGACTAATTTACATTTCGGTATCTAACATAAACTCAAAATAAACTAATTAATTAAAGTAGGTTAAGAAAAATATTTAAATAAAATTTCAATAAGGTATTATCATTGACGGCATTATCTCACAGAAAACTAACAGGTTAAGAGATTTAATAAAGGTGAGTTATTAATATCTAATTATTTTAAAAATTAGAAAAGTTTGGGGGTTTTAGAGGTTCAAAACTCCCTTAAAATTTTTAGGGACCGTACAGATTTCGTGGTTTTATATGAGAAAGATGCTCTTACGATAAAAAAGCCATCTATCCATTTTCAGTACAAAATGTTAAATATTGGAAAAAATCGATTTTCATTCTGTACTTTCCAAAGGCTGTAACTTTTTTGTGTGCACATTTGCATTAAGGTAAGTTTAAAAGTTTTTTCTCTAAAATTTTGTCTACTTAATTTCAATTAAAACTATTATTTACTGAAGTTTGTTTAATGATATTTAATCCTTTTGTGAAATTTTCTTAATATAGATGAACCCTCAATTACCACTTTATTATTTAATTAAATTACACAAAGATAACTATCCTATTAGCAGTAGCATATTAATATCTAACGGTGCTCAAAGCCTGGTTATTTTCTACCGCTCCCACACATGTTGACATGACAGTAAAATTTATTCATGATACTTTAAAAATACAAACCAGAATCAACTTTGCATTTTAACCAACTATTTTTTTTTATTTTTTGGGGAAAATAATGTTTTTGTGCAGTATCTGTTTTTATTTGTGTAAGTTCTTAATGATGTCTAGAAGTCCTATTAATATTTTAGCAAATCTATTAGGGCATCATCAATGTCCCACTTAAACAGGATCACTTAAATCCACGTTCACTATTCTAAAATAATACAAAAAACTTTTCTCAATAAATGAAAATTTACTTACATGCATAAAACACATCTTTCCTCATTGATGGAGCCAGCCTACAGCGTATGCTCTCCTTAACATACAGATTTCTTTATCAAACGTAAACATTTACGTATAAGCACAAGGTTTACTTTGGCGTTAAAAAAGTAATAATAATAAAATATTTTAATCCAATAAAGTTGGGCTTGGCTTATAGGGGTCGCAAAAAAATCCAAATAGCTTGATTTGTTCTGAGTATTCAACCAAAAGTACACACACTAACTTCTGGTACGAATTGCGCTATAATGGTGGTTTTCCAAACATATTTTTAGAACAAACTAGCTTGCAATAAAAGTTGTAGAGGATCAAATTATAAACAACTTTTCTTTATAAAAAAATTTGACGAGTTACAGCGTATTATATTTCCCAAGTTAAAAGGGTGGTTTCCGAAACATTTTTGTTGAAACAAAATATCTTCATAAAAGTTTTAGAGAATCAAATTTTAATCGATATTTTTTTATAAAAAAAATTGTATCTCTAATACTTAATGATTTTAAGGGCATTGTACGTTTTCCATATAATGCCTTTAAAATCATTAAGTATTAGAGAAACAAGAAAGAAAAATTGCTTAGAATTTATTATTCTACAACTTGTATTAAGGCTAGTTTAAAAAATGTTTAGGAAACCACTCCTATAGCGCAAATCGTACCTGGAGTTCGAGTGTGATCTTTTGGTAGTATACTCAGAAGACAATCTCCAAGATACTCTGAAAAAAAATCTCGGTAATAATAATAATGCCTTACTGGAATTTTATTTATATATATTTATCTTAAGTACTTTAACTAATTAAATTATTTTGTATATATTAGACACCGAAATGTAAATTAGTAAATTAATTACTGGTTGTTGATAGATGCTTCAATGGAGAGACAATCACCTTCGATCATCTTCCTTTGATGTTACACACATCTCTTCTTGCACCCACTCCATCATGAGCTACTATATACACCTTCCGAAAACTCAAAAAAAGCAGATTGGCCACTATTTCAGAAAACCATCTCTGCAAACATTCCTGAGCAACGCCTGCTCAACTCCCCGCAAGTCATCGACACAATAGTTGATGAAGTCCAAACCGCCATCTCCCATGCCGTCGAAACATCCACCCCAATCACCTCCTTAAACACAGCACAAGAAGCTAAATTCATCCTAAATCTTATCTCCCAAAAACGACGATTGTTTAGACAATATGCCCGTACCCACGACCCAGTCATCAAAACTGAATGGAACCGCCTAAATACCCTGATCAGGCTCCAAACCAACTTACACAAACAGCAACTATAGATCAATACCACTTATAATTTGGATCATAGGGACGGTTCCAAGTTTTGGAACAAATTCCAACTCATCATGAGTCAAAAATCCAAATCACACTCCCATTTTCAAATCGACGGACAAATCCACTCAACCCCCGACGAAAAAGCCTAAGCCCACAAAATCCACCTTGAATCCACCTTCAGAACCCTCCGACAATCCCTATTTTGACGAGACCGAACAATACGTCCTTCAGACACTCGCCGCCCCAGTCCCACCTTTGTCAAAAACCCCCTCACCTCCCCATTCATCCTCCAAGACATCCAATATACCTGACAAGCAGGCAAAAACACGGCTTCCGGGCCTGATTCCATTCACAGAAGAACGCTGACACATCTTCCTAAAACCATCTTTCCCATCCTCACCCCTCTCCTAAAATCCTGTCTCTCCCTCTCCTATTTTGCACTTGCCTGGAAATCCGCCAACACTATTTTGATCCCCAATCCAGGCAAAGACCCCAAATCCATAAATTCATACAGACCCATCTTTCTCGTATCAGTCCTAGTGAAACTCCTCGAGCTTCTGCTCAAGGAAAGAATCTGGGAATTTTCTGAAGAAAGAAATATCATCCCTCAATCCCAACATGGTTTCAGACCTCACCACTCCACTCAGGACGCAAACTCCTTCCTTCACACTACTGCGGTCACAGCAGTAAATTCTCAACAAATCCCTTCAGTCATTCTCTTAGATGTTCAAAAAGCCTTCGACCAAGTCTGGCATGCCGGACTAGTCAAAAAGCTTATGAACATTGGTCTCCCCCCCAAATCTCCAAACTCATACACTCCTACCTCACAGACAGAAAAATCACTGTCAAAGTGGGCAACTCCCTATCAGACACATTTAACCCACTCGCGGGCGTCCCACAGGGCTCCATCCTGGCCCCTCTCCTTTACCTCATCTACACACATACACGACCCCCCCCCCCAAAACTACCCTACGTCCAAATGCCTTCTATACGCCGACGATACAGCTCTAATCTCAGTAGCCAAAAATTCGAACCAACTAAATATTTGAACCCAAAATCTGTTAAACCAGTACTCTCACTGGTGTAGCAAATGGAGGGTCTCATTAAATCCACAGAAAACACAATTTATCGTCTTAAAACATCCAAATTTTTACAAAACCTCCCAGAACCCCATCTCGTAAATGTAAATCTCCTGGAAGGCAGGCTCGCTAATTCACACTTACAATTCCTTTATCCACCCCGTTGCCGATTATAGAGCTGTACCCTACGACGTTCTTCCCACACACTTATCCCACAAATTTACCACACTCGAGAGACGTATACTCAAAGGTTATTAATATCTCTCCTAGAGCTCCCCCAGCGGAGAAGTTTTCGATAACATCTCCAATACCTCCATCCTCACACGTTTCCAAATCCTCAGGAAACAATACGTCTCTCGCACGATGAAAGGCACCAATACACACTCGCAAGACACACTACGAACCCCATGGCGCCTAGGACGACTTCCATTTTTTCGAAAACCGAAAAGAAAAATGCTGAAACCAAATCTAAGACTTCTCTCAGACTCCCAGGACCTTCCCCTCACCGCTGGAATCAGCCCCCCCAAACAATAGATAAACCCTTCACAATCATATTAGCAGAAATTCATACTATTTGTACAATATCGTGATTTAGGTTTTTGTGGTTTCCTTAAATCATATTCCCCACCTTATATTTGGGCTTGTCCATTTACTAGGTTGGAAATAGCAAAAAAGGCGATATTTTTGGGGTAAAGAACCTGCGACACATGTCTTACACGCGCACACGACAAACTTAGGATACTTATTGTAATCAGGGCAAACCACCCTGAAAAGGAGGATAACTGCTATAGCAGGGTATAAGGAAAATAAAATGTCTTAAAAAAAAATTCAATATTAAATTAAAAAAAAATAAATAAATTAGTCACATTTGAAGAAGTTGTACTTCGAAACAATTGTCGTGTAATTTTTAATTTTTATTTTTTAAATAAAAGTGTTTGTGAAAATCTACCATGTTTGGTTTTTTGCATTTTAATAATATTGATTTTAATCAAATAAAG